GGTGAATGAATACCGACATCCCAAATGTACTCATCATGGTGAATGCAACCTCTGATCTCCTCCCTGAGAAGGGGGAAAAAAAAAAAAAAGTTCAACTTCATCTAAGTGTCAGGTGGCTGGGAGAAAAGAATTCTTCCAGATGGAATTCATTGATCTTCCAAAAATGGAGCCTTCAGTTTAAATTAAAACCAAAAAGATTTCTTAAAAAACACACCACTGAAGAAAAACCCCAACAACCTTCAAGACAGAAAAATTCAATAAATCAAGGATAAAGTCTAGGGCAAACAGAGGAGATTAAACTGAGACTTCACCATCAAGTTGCACTGCAAGAGGAAAGAAATTGCAAAGCATGCTAATTACAAACCCCTAATTTTGTCTCCCATGTACTTACATTTTATTGCATTCTCATCTGTAACAAGAAATACATAAAGGAAGGCCTAAGTCAGTACCAAACAATGAACTACAGCTGGATGCATTCTTCGTTTGTGCAGCTGAGCAATAAATTTGACAAAGCAGAAATTCTATTCGGACACGTTAATCTGTTCTTCTTCTGCAACATCCTTAATACGAAAATGTTAGGAAGGATCCAGGTAGCTGAATTTCAGACTGTTCCCTCCCTTCTTCATCCACAGGAAAGGACACTAGAATGTGGATTTGAACATCCCTGATTCTTTTCTACTTTGACACCTACTTGTTAGGTAGTCTTATGGATCACTCAAGTCCAGAGTGGTTATTTAGTGTTTAATTTCTATTCCCAAAACTCTAAAAATTGTACATAAAAACCACAGCAGAAAGAAGGCCCCAGAAATTTCAATAAGGTGACTTGTAGCAGATCCTTCAAGAGAATCCCAGGAGTGTCCAAACAGATCCCATAATACATTAATGACATTACAGAGAGGGGAGGGACAAACTCAAGCTCCTGTCACTTAGCAGGGAGATGTATCACGACACAGTAATCATGGAGTGATACTGCAGGCCTGGAGAACTGGGAAATCATCCCAAAAATAGAGTTAGCACTGGGCTTTCCAACAGCAAGTGAAAGAACAGAGAACAACTTCCTTTGAAATGTTTGTATTGCTAACTTTGATTAGGATGGAGACCCGCCTTTAATTACAACTTTATCTTTGCACTAAAGTTTTGTTTTATCAATTTAACTAAACAATAAACATTTCCAAAAATTTAAAAGTAAAATTTAGATTAAATCATCTGCTTACTTAATTGCCCTTCTCTCCTTTGAAATGGCCGCAAGTAAAACACGGTAGCAAGGAAAGAAAATTTAACCTTTAGGGCTAATACAGACCATCCTTTCTTTTCTAATGCTGGGAATATTAACATATTAATGGCAACTGCTATTACATGAAAGAAAGTGCTCAGTAGTTCTCTGATGCAAAGAGTGTGTTAGACAGAGAAGGGACAGAAATGAAAAATTAGATGCTCAATTTATCTGCTGAACAACAGAGACAGAATCTCTGTTGGGAAACAACGAGATACTACATGGAAAATCCAATCCCTGATGAGACAAGAGAATGGAGGGGCACAGCCTGGATGCAATTTGCATTTTGTCCTACTCTCGACTTCTCCTTGGCTTCACAAATATTTTCAAAAATAAAAACTCCACAGGTACATGAGCCCGAATGACAAACACAAGACAAGCTTTACCACACCCTCACCCTCCGTCTGAAGAAGCCAAGCCAAGCAGTGATGCGTTTAAACCCTGGGCAGGGTCTCAAGCCCCCGGGAGATGATGACACAGTTACGCTGTGTAATGGTGCCATCTCGTGGTGCCGGTACAGGTGGCACAGGATCAGCTGCGTTTCCAGCACAGCCATCACAGACAACACTTTAAAACAGACACCTCTTAATTAAGTTGTAAGTTTCACAGTGCACGGTCACCCTCAGGACACCCACGAGCACAGAAGGATCCCGTGGTGATTTATACCCATAGGTCACGGCAGTCCTGGAACACTCAGCGTGACTGGAACCAGAATGGGGGGGAGTCTAATGATATTTACTCTTCTAAGAGGAATCTGAAAAATTGAAAATCTATCTGAAAGGACAGGGAGAATAAAGCAAGGTCAGGAAAATCTGCCTCAGAGAAGCAGATCCAAAAACCAGAGCTGTGTGCTGATGTCGTGATGGACCACAAGGTCTCCATCCCCACACTGAAAGAATCCTGACAGCACCAGAGCCACAGCCCAGCATCAAACAGAACAGCAAAATCCACCACAGGAGGCTAAACCAAAATTAATTCAGACTAAAGTAACTGGATGCACTTTGTAAAGACAAAACTTTAGAACAACTTGCCAACAAACGTGGCAGATTTCCCACTGCCCAACATCTGAAAATCAAAACTGCCAAATCAAAACAAGCCTTCTTAAAAAAAACGGGTTGTTTCAACCAAAACCAATGATTTTTTGATGCAGCGACCATGCATGAAATTGTCTGGCTTCCATTATGTGAAGCATCAGGAGAGATTAACGTAATGAAATTTCTAGCCTTAAAATCCATATGTTTACTTGTCTTGAGAGCGATTCCAACGCTTTATTCCCTTGGCACACACCCACTGGATCACTGCTAACACTGAGCTGGATGTCTAACATCTTCCTTGCAGACCAAAATTAAGTGTCTGTGCTTGTAAGAACTACAGGTACAAACTCCCTCTGAGCAGACCTGCCACCTCTCTCTCACACACACACTCACCTCCTTGTCTCCTAAGCAGAAACACGACCGTGTGACGCCACATCCAGAGTGGAGATTCAGAAAGAGATTAAATCCAAGGCTTTGAAAACTTAAATCCAAGAACTGGAATGCTCTCTCGAGCCTTTGCCAGCTTTTCCAGCCCTCTGAAACCATCCTGTCCTTGAGTAAATGCAGATTTCTTTCAAATAAAAGAACTTCCACTGAGAGAAAAAATATGTTTGTGCTGTTGGGTGGGTTTTTTCTATTCTGTTCTGTTAAGACAGCAAAAATATTAGATCTATTTCTGCTTCAGACCCTCTTATGATTCCTGTGATCTCACTAAGAAGAGCTTCAGACTGCTAAGAACTTCAGACTGCAAGTCCAAGCTTCTGAATTAAATTTTGATTAAAGAGAGATACACAGAAAACTAACAGCTAAACAAACTCAAGAAAGACAACTCACACACAGAGGAAAGCAGCAACGTTTCTATGAGAACAGCCAGTAAAGTGGTTGCTAATGCAGGCTGTGGATCACTGGTTAACAGGTGAAACATAAATTCAGTTGGAGGATTTTGAAAATTGATGTTTTTTTCCTCTAAATCAAAGTATCTCCAGATACAGAATGAATTGAACCTCATCAGTTGTCTGCTCATTCCACACACAGTAACTTATCCACCTCCTTTATTCTAATACAAATTCATATAGCATTTCCTGGGGCTTTCTTAGATAAAATTTTGTAGAAACACTTGATTCAGGTGAAATGTCTTAAGGTTCCTCACTTGCTGGAACAACTCCAGTTTACCTTACCCTGACATTACAATATAACGTGCAAACTAGACATGAGGCCAGGCTCCTGCAACCCCAGAACCAGCTTTCAGGAGTAGAGATATAATGACTTTCTATCATACTTAGGTGCAACTGGTATTGCAAGTCTTCACAAATACCTCTTTTTTTTTTTTTTCTTAAAAAAAAAGGTTTGTATTTAACCATACACTGAGTAAGAATATCGGCTGCTGCACGGGAGGACATGGAGTTTCTATCAGTCTTCACAGCACACTCTCTGTGACTTTTCAACAATCCAAAGACCAACTGACTATAAAGTTGGTCCTAAATGCACTTTCTTTGAGACAAGAGAACCATAGCAACGTGACTAAGGCTGGCACACCATCCAGTGTTTTAATTCTCTTGGCAAAAACTTGTAGGTTCCAATTATAGTGCTTTTTTTCTTTTTCTTGTTTTTTTTTTTTTTTTTAAGAGATGCCTAGGAAGGTCTGATTTCTATGTGTCTCAGGCATATGTTTTACAGAGCAGCTCAAGGGGGAAGGAGTTACTTGGATACAGGGAAAAATGTTACATTAAATCACGACCTTAAACCAAAACAGGGTGACAGGGCTATGTGTGAGCAATTCTGGGGGAGAAAATGCACATCCCCACAGTGTACCTACAATGCCTGCCTACAGCACTGTCTCCCTGGAAATGCTGGATTAGTATCTGGAAAGAAATAGCTACCTCTCCTTGTTCCAAAGCATTGACTTAAGAATTACAGGTTGCTGGATCTCTTCAGGTTCATCAGGCCCCTACTGCTGTTCAGCACTGAAGTACCTCTTTGCAAAGCCTTCTCTGCCACTGGACTAAAGATATGATCCTTACAATTATCACCTGTAATCATTAAAACAACATTCAAGCTTTAGAAAGTCCCCTCTATAAAGAAAAAATAAATATTCTAACAGAACCAGATTGAGGTAAAAGAACAAAATTTCTTTACCAAGCCACAGCGTGAGCAATCCAGTGAAATATGTTGTATTTCCAAGTTCATTAAATGCAAAACACTAGGAAAGAGCCTACAAGGAATAAAACATGCAATATGGAATCTACACAAAGTCCTACACCCTGAACTTACACACAGCATTATAACAGTGCCTGAACTGAAAGGCAGTTTAATGCCTGTAGCTCTGTTCCTTCTTCTTCTCTGCACCAAACTTTTCCTGCATGAATGGCCTCTGTGTGCCATCCTGTCCACCACAGGGTTTAAGGCAGATTTTTCTGCTAGAGAAGCTCAAATGAAAGCAATTCAAGATCAATTGTTCACTCTGAAAGGAAGGTTACAACTGTCATTCTGATACCAACGTGTGTTGTGGTATCTCTCTTCCATAATGCAGGATGTGGTTTCCATAGAAATATCTTCTTACATCAGTACCTACAAGCTCTCCAATTATTCCCTTTTGGACACCTCATGAAATCCAATAAAATCTTTTCAGAGCAGGGAAATAACTAGGCTCAACTACTACTTAATTACTTGGTGAGAAGAAAAAGGAAAGGACATTTAGTAAACAAAAGCTTTATTTAAAACAAAACATAAAATGGAGAACACGTGTTGCAAAACAATTACATCTTACCTGAAGAAATTTCTGCAGTGTCACAAATTAAGAACAGTCAGTCAATTACAATTATTAAGACCATACTGAATTTTGCTGCTTTCTGAAACAGCAATTATGGTGCAGTTCTAAATTGTTTGGTGGCCTTGTCTCCAACCAAGTCCCCAGGGCCTGCTCTTTTTCTGAGTCCTTTGTGTTGCCAAGTATTGACAGCACCTTTTTCCACGTCCTCTTCTTCAGGACCTTGTGGGTTTAGAGTCCCTGCTGCTGCTGTGTCATCTTTTTTCTCTGTGGCATCTCCTGCCCCTCTCCCAGCACCAGGAAAGCATTCAACACCCTGAAATGAGAAGGAACACCAAATAATACACAATCAAGATAAACAGCGCCTCGATCCCGATACAGAACGCCTCTGTCGGCCAAGACTGCCACGAACGTGCAAGGCAAGGAACTCAGCTGCACGGTTTGTGTGGAACAGCTTCACTCCTGCTGCTCTGCCTGCCTTCCCAGAAGTGTCAGCATAAAGAAAACTGGGAGCACAGGGAGCCTTGATCTGGCTGGGTGGGCTCTGGGGCCACGACCGCAGCACAGCACACAGGAACGTGCACCACGGGGACCGGGGCTGTCACAGCTCCCCTGGGAGACACATGTCTGAGCAAAACAAACTGATTTAATTGTGTGGCAACCAAAATGTGCTGGGGAAACAACCCCTACAGCTCTTTGTTTTGCTTCCACTCGTCTCTCCCTTTTCTTTATTACTTGAAAAAGCTTCGTTGCTGTGATTCGTATTCTCAGATATTCATACCCGTTCCTAGGCCGAGGCTTCATTCAAACCTCACAGCCCCTTTTAGGCCTTGGTCCTGCAAAAGCTCAGCATGGTCAGATCTACAGCCCAGCAGTGGGATAAAATAATTAGGACCATAAAGAGTTTGGCCTACTCATTCTAAAGGTGCCACACTCTTCCACACAGGAAGAACCACAAGGAAGTTCAGAAAGCCATTCCATAAACAAACCTTGTAATTCTCTGAATTCCAGCTTGGTTACAGATCCTCTATTTCAGTAAGGATGAAACTAAAACATTCAGTGAAAACTCTTCTGTAGTCTTTTAGCCTCTCAAACTATTACAGCTATACAAATTAGCTACAGTTATCAATTATATGCATATATATATATATAATATATATATATATCATGTAGCTCTGATTACCTATATAGACTTTTGTAGGTAGTAGTAGTAAAAACACCCCTAGGTAACTGTGACAGTCTCTCATATTTAAACCTCACTATTTCACTAAAAAGGGAAAACCTCACCAATAAGAAACAAAATCATAAAATAGCAGATTAGTCACTGTACCTTATTCATCTGGTCCACATCTGATTGCCTGGGTTTACTGGCTGGAGTATTCTCCATATGAGAGCTCACTGCAGCCTCTGGAGAAATGGGGTGAATATTTTGCCCCAGAAAGAGATTTAAAAGGAAGAAAAAAAAAAACATTAGCAGACTTCCATGGCTATTTCCATTTAAAAAACACACCAGAAAAAGCCACCTGAATGCCACCTTCAACCCCTCCTGCCTTGTTTCTGTTTCTGTTAATTAAAGCAGGGTGCTACATGTCACTACCACAAAAGACTAAGGTGAACAACTATACTAGAAACAAAATGTCTCTGGGTCTTGGAAGTTCTACTAAATAGATAATCCATTTATCTCTTACACATGGAAGACCCATACCCCTCCCTCCCTTTCAGTAAATGCAGGAACTTTGACCAATTCAGATTAAGGATTATAAGCAATCACTTGAAACTCATTTTAATTCTTCTCAGTCTGCTTATTTTTGCACAAGTTTCACACTTACATGCTTTATGTATATTACTAAAGTACTTCACAGCAGCTCAATTCCCTGCCTGGCAGATTTAGCAACCACAACCAAACCCTGTGAAATGATTTCTGTTGCTCCAATCAGCCCCAGAAGAGAAATGTCACCGTGTTCCTGTTACTGAGACTATTTGCTGTAATTATATCTCTACATTTTTCAAACAATAAGAATGAATTCAGAATGAATAACTGCAGCTATGTGTGACAACATGCTAAAAAGCTTTATTTTCATAGATACATGTGTGCAGACAGAAGTATGTGTGTGCATTTGGACCTATGTATCTGAGCACACCCAAACACAAGTATCAGCTGCAGTTGACATGAACTGCCACTAGATGCAGCCACAGAACCTTGCAAAATTTAAAATTCTGACCTCAGGGTTACAGAAACCTGTTTTGGAATATCTGTGACTGTAGAATTCTTACAGGAACGTTAGTAGTATTCAATCCTGAGTACTGGTGCAGAAAAAAATATATAATGCAAGCAAAATATTCCATTTTTCTTCTCAGTAATTTTGTTCCAAAACACAGCATTGCAAATGTCAACAGGAATCTAAGAAATCAGAGCAGAATAAGGCTTGTCTATTTTCACAGTTGTTGCCATAGATCCAGATTGGAGCTGACAATATTAAATTACATTGTGTTTTGCTTTCTGCATAACAGAGCAAGTAGGAATAAAGCCCTTGTTCCCAAGTGGGCCCCTAAAGATAGAATCATGGAATCATAGAATAGTTTGGATTGCAAGGGACCTTTAAAGTTCATCTAATCCAAGCCAGCAATGAGCAGGGACACCTTCAACAAGACCAGGTTGCTCCAAGCCCCATTCAACCTGGCCTTGAACACTCCCAGGGATGGGGCAGCCACAGCTTCTCTGGGCAACCTGTGCCTCAACACCCTCATTGTAAAAAATTTCTTCCATATAGTTAGCCTCAATCCACCCTCTTTTAGTTGAAAATCATTATCCTCTGTCCTACTGCAACAGGTCCTGGTGTCCTCTGCACACCTGCAGGTGACCTGGATGACTGTGCACTTATGGAACACATAAACACGTAACTCCAGGGGATTCCACTCACATCATTTTCCCCTCTGTGTCCCTACACCACAACTCTGGAAACACAAGCTTCTCTTCATGGGCATGGTAAGCACACACACTGGGTCAGATGACAAAGGATTCCTGCACTCAGAAGATGTTTCTGCTTTATCTACCATGAACAGATAGCACAAAGCCTTGGAAAACCCTCTTGCTATCTCCTCCCTGGCTATCAGACAGAATAAGGCAGCCTTTAGGACAAAGCAAAACCAGGGAAGCTCTCCTCTAGTTTCAGCAGGTGTTACCTGCTCTCTACCCTCCCTTGGTAATTCCCTGGGTGCAAAATATGCACAGTACTGGGATAATACAAGCATGGGAAGCAGACTGCATATGTAAAACTGATATAACAAATGTAACACATGCTTTCAAATCCAAGTTTTATAGGGGGTTGATTTTCCACTGGAGATGGGTGAAACAAAGCCTGTTCAGCACAATTAGTGTAAACAGTGATGCCCAGTGAGCTGTGCACCAGAGTGGAGCACACAGATTAAAAAGCAGATTTTTATTCTATATTTTAGTGCCAAGTTCACTTGCCTCTATTCCCTTCCACTATAAAGATCACATTGCAATTCACAATCCTTATAAATAAATATAAGTACACACAGACACCATGTCATTTAAGTGCAGAACTGGCCAAGGCAGTTCCCCAGCCTCACATGTCTTTTTTACTGACAGCCACTCCAGTGGAACGATATTCACCCATGTTTTGGGTCGTTTCTCTTTGTCTGTTTGTTTTTGGAGAAGATGGCAAAATGAAGAAAGAAAAAAGAAAAGTATACTCGCCTCCAGGATCTGCTGGGTTTTGATCTGATCACAGTTCTCTTCAATTGCCATTAATAAACTTCACTTAGCAAGATGGATTAAAGGAAAGAGCAACCCCAGGTTTTAGTGATTTAAAGCACGAGGAACACAGATATAATGGCTTCAGAGGAACCCAGCCTAGGGCTAAAGTCTGACTTAACTCTCCTGTGGGTGCTGCAGACAAGATGAAAGGCAGTGTCTCAGCGGAAGGTCCCCGAGCCAGCACGAAGCAGGATGAATGTGGGAAGGCATGGGAGCAATTTGCTCTGGAGCACTCCTTGCTGCACTTCCAGAAAAAGACAGTGTGCACCCTTCTTTTGGAATCCAGTGCTTACCACAGCTTGTGTGCATGCAGCAGAGGGGCCTGTTTGGATCCTCCAGCCAGCTGAACAGATTATACCAACGAGATCCACACAGGAACTGTCAAAAAGTTTCCCTACTCTGTTGCTATGTTTTGTGAAGTAGGCAGAAAATGCTCCCAGCAAGAAGGATTTACCCCGTAGGAGAGTACTTGGAACCTTCCAAAAGCCATAATGAAAATGTTTGTGTTTCCATCCAAGAATGGCATTGGCAGCAGTTGAAGGTAACTAAGCATACTGCCCATTGGCCACACAAATTTCTTCTTTGCAACAATTTTAGAGAAACAAACCCCTGTCTATAACCCAGACACCGTGTTGTGCAACAGCAATTTTGGGGCTAACTTCTACCCTGCTCTGAGTGCACTGCAACGGGAGTTACAGCCACTTTATGCCAAGACTGTGCTTTGTTCAGTATCTTTCAGATGCTCTGTGGTTCCATTTCATTACCTCATAATTTCTAAGAATTATCCTGTTTACTGTGAAGGGATGAGGGAGCTGGACTGCACACTCAGTAGTTTCTCCAGCAGAGACACCACCTTTGCAGGATCACCACCCAACCCTTGATTACATGTCTTATCTTTACAGGACTGTAACCACCATGGCCGAGTTCACAACTGCTCATTTTAACTCACTTCCTGAAGGGGATAACTCCATCTGAATTTTCAACCAGATATTCTCTCGCTGGCTCCAATCTCCCGGTGCTTCCACCTCCCACAGTCGCTTCTGCTCCTCGGGATAAGCCTGCAGGAATTTCTGGCAAACTGAAGAGGAGAAACCAAGGGGTAAAGGTACAAATGAGTGAAAAGTACAGGGGAAGAGGAAGAGTATTCTATCCCAGAAATTCTCTCAGACCAATTTTCATTAGTTCCTTTGGAAAGCTTTTCTCATTTCCTCCTCTATGTCTTAGCTGGGGGTTTTAGTAAAAGTCTACGTGGAATGGCCTGAACAGGCACGAGTGAATCCTGTCCCTCTGCTTCAGTCTACATTATCTGCTTCAGAGTGATGAGTGTACTGAGCACTGATTATCAATATAACTTGGGTAAACAATCAAAGCTAGGTTTGCTTCCGTTATCAAACTGAAATATGAGTCTTCCTTGAGATGTCTGCAGCATCTGCACATGTTCTGTTGTAGGACAAACAGTCCAAAAAGTTCAAAGGGGATTTTTAAACTTTCCTCAACCACCATCTTATCAGTTCCATCAACTGCATTAAGACAGCAACCTGTAAACAACAAAATTATTGTCACAGTCTGTCCACTGTAGTTCCCCATACTACAGAATGGGTAGTTTATCTTCAATATTCAGTTGAGTTTAACAATGGGATGTCAAAACAAGCCCCTCATGTACGCAAACATTTGCCTTGCAGTAATGAGCAGCTCGTGGGTGTTAATTTTATCCAAGGATATCCCAACTAAATTAATCATTCCAATAAAAGCTGCTGAAAGTAACATCTATACCAAAATACAGGTCTCTGCTAAATGGATTTTTACTTCCTTTTAGGCTTCTACAGCACCTTAAATACCAAGCTGGTGAAAACTGTCCAGTTTCAGAGATCTCAGTGCAGAGATTTAGAGTAAAAGGTTGCATTCATTTATCAAAGGATGAGAATGTGGTTCCAATTAAATTAAAAACAGACAGTGTCTTCAATATGCTCAAAAATTAACTTACACTATTGGTATTTTTATAAGAGAAAACCTAATTAAAACATGATGCAAGTCAAATTCATTCACTATTAGCTCTAAACTTAATTGAGACGAAAGCTCATGTTAACAAATAAAAAATGCAGCTTTCTCATCCGTGGTGCCTAAAGCTCTGACATCTGCCATAGGAAAAATGGATATTACTGGGAGAAGAGAAGGAATGTTGTCAATACTACCCCTTCCAGAATTTAGAAGTACCTGCTGGGGTGCATTTGTACACTTTCAATGGTACATGATAACCAAGAGAGAAAACAGACAGAGCCAAAATTTTGTTGATACTTATTAGGAAATGGCTGTAAAGTTGTAAGTCAATCAAAGCATCTGCCCAAAAATTTAGGTAAAGACCACAGAAAGCAACTTCGGTAAAGAAATAATTTTCTAAATAAGCGAGTTTTATAAATAATGTGAGCATAGATATTTTCCATGAGTTTTGTCAGCAAGACCAGAACTTTGACCTAAAGAGAAGATATGTAACTACTTTGTGATCTTTTAAAAGTGACAAATGTTCAAAGGCAGTCAATACAACACAAGTACTGATGTGACTGGATGACTGAGCAGAGTCTGGGTATTTGGCTTATTAAATGTAATTTCTTACAAATGCAGGATCTACTAGAGCATTATGCGCATAGTGTGGGCTTGACATCTTGTGATTCTTTTCCCTCTGGTGTCAAATAAAATGTGTAAGTCCCTGTCTAGGGCAACGACATAGTTCTAAGCAAGTGAGATAAGAACACAGAAATGTCAAACAGGCAGTATGAGTTTTATGCTTCTCGTTGTCTTACATAAATATTGGCCTACCTTTCTACAGGAAATTCCAGATGTCTCTGGAAAAGTAACCAGTTGCACCCTCAGAACAGCTCGGTTCAGACAAGGGCACTGAACTCTTACACAGTGAAGACAATCTTACCAAGACCATATTGAAAATTATACATTATACATGGCCCTTACCTAACGTGTCCACATCAAACCATTTACCTTGATACATGGCAGCAGAAATAGGGCAGCTGATCCCCAAGGCATCCTCAGCCAGGAAAGACTGACAGAAATCACGCAGCATTTTCATCCCCAGGCCACCTCTTCTGCACTTTCTCCGGACAAATATAGTATCCAACACTGGCAGCAAGTAACACTGACTGGTTGTACCATCACACAGGCTCCCTGAAAGCAGAAAGGTAAAAAACCATGAATTTGCTAACAAAACTGGTAACTGCTGTGTGATTCTAGACACAGACACTGCCCTGGTACCTCTCCACAGGCTGGGAGGATGATCCCAACAGAACTGCACTTGCACAGACAGTAAAGCACTTTCCAAGAGGAAGATTCGTGCCCTCAAACGGAGAGGACCTGCCTAACATGTGGCTGACAGGTCTCACCAGAGTACTTTCCAGACTCTGGTTCTTCATAATGAGACCATCCAGGTACACAGGAAAGCTCACTGTAAAGATAAAACTGAGCTACAGCCAAAGAGATACAAATACTCTGAATGTAATGTCAGTATATTCCTCTAGCTTTCGGTTATTCTGGTAAATCACAAACCCTTTTTATGAAATACACTGAACCACACAACACAGCATGAGCTAAATGCTCAGAAGGTCCATACTGCCTGATGCAGCTGGACAGAGGAGCCTTCCAGAGAAAATTCCCAATCCTGCTTAAGCTAATCATTCCTTCAAGGAAGGCTCCCATGGTCTCTGTGTACGTTGCTGTTGTGCCTTCCCAGATGGCACTGTAATGCTCCGAAACTTAACTGCCCCCACCATTTACACCTCCTTTCTGACTCTCACTGCTCAGAAAGTTATTCAGCCCTCTTACTGCACATTCAGCCTTTGATCTCTTAGTTCAGTAAATTCTACAGACACGTGTAAAATAGAGTATTTCCTCTTTCAGTTACCTGTCAACACACACCAGGAGTCACCTTCAAACCTCTGCTGGTTAGAAAACCACACAAAAAGTGTTGGGGTTGCTCCACCATGAAACTGGGAAACATAACAGGGAAGCAAATGACTTCCCAAAGTGGAGGAACCACGTCTGAGAAAGCACCAAGCAGAATGCAAGCAATAAAACCCACAGCAGCAGCTTAGGTTCAGCCTTATACTGCAGCACACAAAAATCACATCTCTGTAGGAAAAGCAGCACATTAACTAAGACATTTGGGTATAAAGCCCTAAACAATTAAGTGGTGCATTTTAAGAAAGCACTATAAAAGCTCGTCTTTAAGTCACTCCATTTCTACTGAGTGGTAGTTTATCACAAATGCTTCTACAGTCCACTGCTTGAACTACCACCACCAGTGTTAAATCAGGGGTTTCACTCAAGGACAGTCCTTGCTAATAAACACATTATATCAGTCCACTGAAATCACGGGGACATGACTTAATGCTCTACATGTGGACAAAATACAGACTCAAGTATAACCCTCCAAAGTACTAAAACTCAGTTCCCAGTGGAAATTGTCAAAAAAAAATAAAAACTAAAAAAAAAAGAATTAGAACTAAGGGATTTATTTTGCAATCACGAATGGTAAACTCAAACTGGAGTCAAGAGAAAGTTGATTAAGAACAGACATTCAGGGTCCAAAATGTCAGTGTTTACCCTAAACAACCTAAGGTCCTATTGCAGGAGGTGCATTAGCAATTCACTGAACAACTTCCATTCAGTGTAAAACACCATAAAAACAGAACCTTCAACTACTTTACAGCATAAGCACTCAACCCTGAACTGAATGACCAACCTCAGTTCACCAACTACCTACCTATAGGATAAGGTCGGCATAGAAACCTCTCACTCAATTATTTTCATTTTTAGAAAATATTTATGAAAATTTTATGATGCTTCTATCTGGGTACACATCAGTTCAAATACAAATGGATGGCCCAGCCTTTATAACAGAAAAAGATTACATTTTCATACCTTGTTGCTTAAATCTCATCTAGACCTTCTTGGTTTTCTTTCCTACTACTTACTAGTGGACCACTTGGTCTAGTTTTCAGTATCTTGAGATGTGAAACTTTCATCACTTCACTAAGGCCTATTGCACAGTTTCACTATCTTCTATTAAATGGCTGTTCCTAAATCCCACCATTAGATTTTTACTTAATAGATCCATTCTTTCTTTATCTCATTGCCTAACTAACTTAAACTGAGATCTACTTCTGCTCCTTGAGTTGGTGTCTAATACCTTTTGCTAATACCCACCAGGCCTGATTACTCTATTTTCTAGGATGCCAATTCAGCACAGAACATATGATTATATTTAATTCTAGGCACTGATTTGTCAAGGCTGTAGCTGTTCATTTAGCAACAATCCACATCACACATACTGAGCCATACAACAAGAGTATGGAGCTGCATAACCACCCATTCACATCCAGGCTTGGTTCACTCCTGCTTAATCAAAGTGCATGCTTAACTTCAAACACATGTTCCAGCACATTGTTGGAAAAGGCTGGGTTGTGGTGGTGTTTATAACCTTCCAATATTTGTAACACATGATGGGTAGTTAGTCTTTTTCTTCGTGAGCCAAAAAATGGAGTATATCCCCGGTCCCATTGTTAGCTGCCAACCCAACAGAGATGCTGGATCCCAGCAGAGTTGCACCATACGTTCTAAGAAAGGCACAAACTTTTCCTCACGAAGTCTTTAAGAATTCCTGCGTGTTGCAAGCATCCTTATAAGTTTATTATTATCTCATATAGTCTGCCTCCTATAAATCCTGCCGAGACTGCTGTGCAGCAATCCCAGGAGCTGCGTGATTTATGTCTATGCTCCTAATTTTGTGTTGAGAAGACGACAAAAACTTGTCATGTCTAAAGGCACTGTAAATAAAAGAAACCATGAAGCCATTCCTCACCTTGTCCCTGGGAAACATATTAGGAGAGTCGTAGCCCACAGGCATTTGAAATAAAATAAACAAACCAACCAAAAGATAGGAACAAAGGCCACTTTGTCCCCAGTTCCCATCCAATGGCACAGGGGTTACTGTAAGCTGATGGTGGCCCAGAGGTGACCACTGGGCTCTCACACATCTGGCTGAGACGTTTGTTTCTTTGTTGGAACACGCAAACAAACAAAGTTCTGAGGTGAGGCAGGAGACAGGGGAAACAAAGGCACTGCTGATGGAGATGGAAGCATTCGTGCAGTCTGCCCTCTGCAAGCCTTTGATCTCTCTGGTTAGGTCACGAGTGCCAAATGACCAATTTCGGAGCCAGCGAAATGGCAAACAGATATTACCCGGGCAGGAAAGCAGGCAGCCATTAGCATTCCCAAAGAGCCACAAACCAGAAAAAAAAACCCAGCAATCTGGTCCCCACATCCAACAGACCCAAACAAAACAAGGTTGTGCACACTGACTGTTTCCCTGCTGGACAAGCTGGCTTGGCACACACATGTTTGGACAGGCCCCGAGCAGGCCGGGTGCTTGTGCAAAGGGTGGAGAATATTCCTGCAGAGTAGAACCCAAGGTCAGCCCATTGTGTGAGTCTGTATGTGAGAAGGGGAACAAAGGTTCTGGCTTCAATAAAATTAAATGAATTCATGTCTTGACTGGTATGTAGTCATTTCATTTTTATTACAGCCAGAACCTTCAATCTGCCTCAGAAATGCACATTAAAAATATTATTGCTAGCAAACAGAGGGAGACAAAAGCAATTACCCAACAAGATTCCAGCTAATTGTCTGTCAGGTTAACTTCAATTCTGATTTATTTTTTTTCGAAAAGAAAGGTATGTAATCAGTGAAAAATAAAGTCCTGTTACCTTTTTAAGGATCTATTTCGAGAGAAAGCACCTGGGCCACCAAAGTATCAAAAGAAATCTGCAAAGGCTTGCAAGAAGAAAGGCGTGAAATGGATTTTTGCCTGGGGAGCCACTTCCAAAGACCATCTCTAAGGCTCTGGGGTAGAAAAAAAGCAGAGACTGAGGCAGAGTTGCTTTGCTGCCGACTCTATGTCAGCTCGAGAGCTTTTGCAGTCAGGTTTTCCCAAACTGTGCCTTGCAGAGCATCTTTAAAGAATGAATGAGAAGCCAAGAACGCATTTACTCCTGATTCAAGTGCATGTTTTACAGCCTTCTCAGAGGACTCAATTTGGTTAAGGCTGGTTTGATTCACATCACAGGGAACACCATCCTTCTCCACACTTTTACTGCTAAGGGTTTGTCAGGAGGGAAGGGACAAGCTTTGACAACCTCACTCCTTTGCCTGATCCACAGCTGGGCAGCTCCTGCATGTTACAGAAACAGTAATACATATAAGAGTAGGGGAAAAAAAGATGTATATAAAAAAGGGATTTTGTTCTGTTTTGTTCTTAAAGGGACTGAGACATTCCTGGCTCACTGCACCCTCCAACTTCCTCACTGATTTATTTGCAGCATGAATATTCTACGTTCTCCTGACATTTACGTGATGGTGGTATAAAAGCCCATTTTCAGTAATTACTTGTCCTCAGTAAATAAAAAAAAGGAAAACTTCCAGGGAATTACATGGTCTCACTGCACAAAAAGCAGTGTCAGTAACCGTGGCAATTAATCCAACATCCCTACACAAAACACATTCTTTTTGAGGTTTTCACGCAGATTTAGAGCGTGAAGTAAATACTCTAAACAATACAAAACAGATCTCAAAACACAAGTATCTATAGGCAGGTTTTCTGCAAAATATTTCATTTTCAGGTTGCTGTCTGCAGAGAAAGGTGCAGGAGCACGGAACTGTCATCTCCTGTTGTACCTTTAAGTAGCTACATTTAGTGAGGTCTCACTCCTCAGCTGTCTGATATGGAGGCTGCTGACATAGATAAAATTGGAGACATTTATCTTGGCACGTGACAAAGTGTCTTATCAGCCTCATTAGTGGCTTAGTACATCTCATCAATCTTTAGTATACCCAGTGGTAAATGCTGCATGCCTGTCATTGGACAGGAATAGGCACATACCAGAGAGGGTAAGTTGATGATCTGTGTAGTCATGAATAAATTTTGCTTTAATAAAGGTGTCTAATGCTCAGGAAAAGTGATAGCCTTGAAGAATGAGTCTTCTGTTTATCTACACAACAGGTGCAGGATGGCCAGTGCCAGTAGTTGCCAAATTGTCTCAAAACCTTGACTTGCACTCACTGCACCTCTGAGCAAGGCGGGTGCTCGAGACCATCTGTCCCTCCTTAGCTGGACTATTAAAAAAGAGTTCCAGTTAAGGATGTTCATAAGATGGATGGGAGCACGGAACTGGACCAAAATTACCAAGTTCCCTTTGTACAGGCCACCTAGGAACTGGCAAATGGAAATGACTTTTACAATAGTGCCAAGACAGTTAATTGGAATCACTGAAGTCCCCTGAAAATTTAGTTTGCATAACGGCACATTAAATCTGTCGTAAAGATAGAACAGACTCCCCTCCTTGGTCACCATTCCTGTGATTCACTCAGAAGACTTATGTTTGAAACAGCCAGGCTCCACAGACCAGTTCTGCCTTATTTGGCTCCACTGAAGCATGTTTTTTGTCATGCTGTAGATAATGGAAAATTCACAGATGAGAAATATAGTTGAAAACGACATCAATACGAGAGTCTCAATTACCAAGAAAATAAAACTACAAAGAATGGCCAGGTAATTGCAGAGCATAAAAATAAAGGGAATCAGAATCACACGGTGGGCACAGAGGTAAATAAATTCTTCCTAGGATCAGAAGCTGTAACAGAGGCCCAGCACAATATGAAGTCCTGTAGTTAAACCCACCACCCACCCCTACTAAATGTTCTGATGAGGGCAGTAAAAACAAAAAGAAATTACATTATGATTTAAAAAATTAAATTTAAAAAAAAAAGTCCAACTCAACCATGTGAAATACAACTTCTAAGTGAAGATATTTATCTTAGTCTCTTTTGGGCCTAATAAATCCAGGGCTCTTCTAAAAACTAGAGAGAATGGGATCAGCCAGAGCATGGCTGGTATGAAATTGAAATCACAGAACTTCAGAAAGAGGAATTATTTTCTAAATGCGTACATCAAATTGCAAAAAGCAGCAAAAACAATCAGTTTCAAGCTTCCCGAAAAGGCTTTGGCAAAAGACTGCAGTAATTTGTGACACAGGCCAAAAATAACAAATATAGCTGCCCAGAGAAAAAAAACACTGGCAAGAAAAGGCAGATGCTGACAAAGCTGGACTTGAAGGATTTGTATTTTATGTGGACCTGGTTTAAAACCAAACTCTGACTCTCAACTTACTCAGAAACAGTTTCAACTTGGCTAATACTCCACCCATAACAGACTACTGTGCACATTTATTTTACTGAAGCATGAATCATTACAGCCCATACAAGTGTTTCTTTCCAAAAGCTTTGCTCAGGAACATTTACTGACTTAAAGGAAAATGAACTATGGCAATGAAGTGTTTGCCATTACAAACCAGTTCATCAGCATGATCACAGACACAGCCAAGGCTCCTTTATCATGGGTTGAGACCCGATGGTACAGCAGCACTGTCATGGTGCTGTACCAGTCACACCTCTCTGTCAATAAGGATTTCTCCACCCCAAAGCAGCTGAAGATCAGAACATCTTATTGCTGCTGGCCTTTGGGATCTAGCAGAGAAGGCACCTTCACACTGGTAACCATCTCTCTGCATTCCTCTGGAATTCAGAGCAAACCATCTCTGAAGCTGTTTCTTATTCTCCCATTTTGGATGGATGGCTACTGAACACCGACTTGGACAACACATTTTACTTCCAAAGATCTCAACGTCTCTGGATTTAAGCTGCTGGTACCAAGATGAATCAAACACCCACTGGTAACCAGCTCCTACGTGGGGGCACACACTCAGCTGCACACCTGGAGTTCTAACTAAGCCTCTTACACTCCAGCCTGGTTAATAGCAACGTACCTGCACCAGTACAAACCCTCTGTTTAACAAAAGACCTTCACTAAAGCTTATCAAGTATCATTAAAGAACTAAAATACATTTTGTTTCTTTTCTATGCTAGTTCCATCAATCAATGATGGAATCAATTAATCACCGTCCTTTAAACTGGGAGTACCACCAGACAAACTATTCCAGGACTGATCTAGTGCACACACCTTCCTCTACACAATCCAGCCACTGCTCCTTCCACATCCAAGGAGCTTTCCACTTCTTTCCACCACCCACTCTCAATACACTGTTTTTCCACTGAGAACTGCCCTCCTTTTCCAGATATCATTCTTTCCAGGACGCAGCCCTCCATTCTGTGGATTAGGCCCTCCAGTCTTTGTTCCTAGACGTACGACCTTCTACTTGGCTGCATTAAAGCCCATTTTATTGGGATAAGCCACTACCTCAGCCTTCTCATTGTAACTGAGGAGAGGCTTTGGAACCACCGTGTTTAAATGAAAAGTCATATGGATGGCTTCCAAATTCTGGGAGGGTTTGTTCCCCCGATTAATTCCGAGAGAGATTTCATATAAAAATGTAAATGAGAGCCAGGATTATTTATACTGAAAGATAAACAAAAGGATTACATTTGGAGCTATTGGGAACCAATGGAAATGTGTCTCTGAAACGACCTTACCTTTCATCTTGACCGAGTAAAAGGCAACAGCCTCGCCGTTCCTCCAGAGTATCTTGGCACGCTCGGTGGCAGAGTGAGGTAGAAAGAATGCATCATTAGCTGAGCTCCCTTCCAGCATTCCAAAAATAATGTAGTTCAGAACAAAGAGGACAATCCTTTCTGCAAATGTCTGGACCTTAGAGAACAAACAAAAAGAGACCAAAGAAAAATGAGGCAGAGAATAGTATTTTGCATCTCATAAAAGAAGGTTTCAAAATCAAAAGAGGCTGGGAAGGAGGAGGTCAGGAAACACGTACACTTAATTTGGGGAAAATACCTCATGAATTGGTTCAGCTAGAATGACAAAGACAGTTTCTCCCAGTGTTTCACCCTCTATCCAGAGGGCATAGAATAATTTAGTAACTATTTATTTATAAAGCTTGACATACCTCCTGTTGTCAAAGAGAGGAATTCTAAAGCAGGAGGAGTAACTTGATTGTAGTCACAGCAAACCAGTCACAGATTTGAAACTGGGATCAAGGCAATCTAATCCTACCCAAAAGTGGAATAAAGATAGGATTCACTGTGTTGGCCTGGTCACCTATTACCTGTCTTGCCACAGCATCAAAGAGTTTTAGTGGGTCAGGTCCTTACTGAGGTAGACACTAAACAAAACAGAAAATAAACAGCCTATCCCAAATATCTTATAATCCAGGTGTAACATGAACAATTAGTCTGTGCTGTGTTTCTTCTGAGACAACCAACGGGACAGGGAGAAAGAGGAATACAAAGCAACAAGATCACACTGGCCATTAAGGTAAAAACTGGTGCCAACAAGCTTCACATGAATGCTGAAAAAGAAAATTGCGAATTTCCACAAATAATGACAATTTACCTCTTAGCAATGAGCTAGAAGGGGTAGGGTTTCTATTTTCAGATACTATTTTCATTCTCTGTTGATACAGCAGATGCTTAAAAGCCTCAAGGCCTGTGTCTGTGCTCCAAGTTCTATCTTGCAAGGATTTGGATCCCAAAATCCCTACACAGTTCAGTTACCCACAAAAAGCCGACTTAATTCTGTGAGTAATTAAACTCTATGTGTGACAGATATTAGGGAAAGATGATCAAGAAATGGAATCATTCAGGACCAAAGATACAGAGGGTTGGGTAGGAAACAGAACTGACTTAATAACCTCATGGCAACACAAAACTCAAACGCAGTAGGCATCTGACTTCCTAGCTGAAAACAGACTACAGGCTACCCAAATCTTTCAAATCATGAAAAAGCAGCTCTATGCTACTAAAATAATTCGTTTGGAAAAAGAATTATTGATAAAGAGACTATTAAATAGCAAGCATTTCATAAAACGTATCAACACTATCAGCATTATCCAAGGAAAAAAAAAATCCTAACTAGTTAGATAAGACATTGCTCCAAAGGGTAGTAACACCTCCCACCAGACAGTCAGTCAAGCAACAATAACATGAGAAATTATTGCTAGTGCAGTAATTCAGTTTATCTGATTATTCCTTTAGTAGGTAGTGAGGGTAAACTAAAAAAACAAAAGAAAACAAATCCCACAGAAACTAAAAAAACAGAAGAAAACAAATAAACTGCATGCAGAAAATTGTTTGGAGAGGGCTAAAGGTGCATGTCACTGTAATGGAGATGTGAAGTACTTGGTGAGCTCCAGAGCCCACAGGTTATACAGCAGGAGCTGTAGGAGGCCAGAGACAAGTACATATGATTGTTCTGGCTGGGGAGTTCCAGGGCAAAGGCAACTGTTTAAAATAGCATCCTCACCGAAAGGAGCCCATCTCTAGCAGGATCAGCCGTCCTCACCACGTCTTCAACAGGCCACCAACGCCGGCCCAAATAAACTGCCAAAACTGCAACAAGAAAAAAGCAGGGGAACACGTTACCTGCAAATACAAAGGAGGTTCTGAACCTTTCCACCAGCAGCTTCAGATCTGCTGCTCCCTCCAGCTGGCTCCAGTGTGATCTGCTGTGAGACAGCAGAACAATTGCATTTCAGTTTCACCCCCACATCCCCTAGTCCCAGTTTTCAGTCCCATATGAGGCATGAAGGGAAGGTAGTTTCTCTCAGGAATTGATGTGACTTTGATGTGACAACCTGTGTGCCACATGAATAAAGCACTTCCTGCATAATAATAAGTTCAGTAGCAGAGTAGGTTTGAGTGGCATTTGGGACAAGAGGAGCTACCTGGCTAAAGGTTACTGTTTTTGAAGGTTCTTTCAGACCTTCCCCTGCCCACACACATATATTTGCATATATCTGAGTGCCCATATTTGTTCTCATGCAAGTCAAACACTAAAGTTCTCATATCTCCTCTATCAAACAGCTATGTGATTGAATTTCTCTCTCTCTGTACCTCTGGAGCACAAACTCCTAAATCATGGACAGATATTCAGGGAGGTTCAAAATGCATCCAGGGAGGTTTCTATCAACAAAGGACAGAAAATACACACATAAATAAGATACACTTTGCCCTGCAGCAAAAGCGTATGATCAACCCACATAAGTCAAGTCCTCACGTAGGTGGCCATGCAAAACTTGCACCCCACTTCTTCCCATCCTTCCTCAGTTTTTCACATATGCAGGAACAAGTACTTAAACCCTACTCCTACATGTTCATCTACAGAATTTGCTGCCTGCCAATAGAGTTACAAGAAAAATACTGAAGCAGCAACAGCGACACTGAAATTACTCCCAAGCCTTGTTAAGAAAGAGAAGTTCTGACACGGGGTCATTTCAAAGGGGAGAGAAAGGATTTTAAGGGTTTAGATGAGGTTTTAGAATAAACACAGAAGTCCCATCATTTATGACCACAAACCCATCAAAGAAAATATTTCAGCAAAGAGAACTTTTATTATCTGTACAGCGGTGACATTCACTTCAAGAAAGCACATGGCCATAATTTCAGGATTGCTCAGGAACTCCAGTTATCTGTCCTACATTCAAATAGGGCAGCTAGCATCCCCAATTTTAGATTAAAAGATAATATCTACCACAGCAAGTTGCAAAGAACAGCACAGGGTTCACACCTCTTGAGTCCTAAGAGAGCTCCATCAACTGGCTCTCTAACCCACCCAACAAGGGACAAACACAAGAAAGGTCAAACCCACCTGTGAGTTAGAGACAAATTCACAGACAAGGAAGTGAAATGACTTTGAGGACAGGGTTCATCATTTACCTGTTTCAGCCCCAGGTTATACAAATGTCATTGATGCACACAGGTTGGTTTCCCTTTTGCTTCAGCCTCTATTGCTCCCACTGGCTTTAAGGCTTAGCTAACTTGTATTCCAAATCAATTATTAAAGCATGTGCCAGAAAGCATCACACTTTGTGCACTGGGTTAGCAAGGAAGGAGCGCTGCACGCAAGGGCAGATGCCTGTTTATAGCACCAGACTCAATTCATTAAATATTATGCACTTACTTGCATGGGAGTTTCATACCCTTTGTGTGATGGATTCAATCTGTTCCCTCAAACCCTTCCCTCTGCTTTCAAATGCAGCAGCCACTGCTCCATTACACATCCATGAAACATGCAGCTACAAAGGGAGCTGAGTCACACAAAGGGGACATTACAGGCCAAATGCTGACTTTAATGAGAGCTGCACAGAGGTTTGGCACACAGCTCAGACATACAAGACACACAGTAAAGGTCAGAGAAGTTTAAAAAGGCTTTGAGGAAAACAGGAAGATGCATAACCATGTTGGAAGGAGTTACTTTTATAGAACATTTACTGTGCTATTCAATAATTTAAATGTGTGGAAGGGAACACTAGTTGACATAGCAACTGTCACATCACATTACTTGAGCAACCTTATCTATATGGATGCCTTCCTTGAAGGAAAAACATTTCTCCAGATTTCACACAAACATATGCACTTCGCTTTTTGTTATCATTTTTCAAGTCAACATCTGGTCTGCAGTTAAATCCATCCATGCTTCCCTATACTCTCATTTTCATTTTATAATCAACTTTGAGGAGCACTATTTCAAATGCAAACATGATTTGTGAGACCACATGTTCCTTCTCTCTCCTCTCCCAGCCCTGCTGTTCTTTCCAAGATGTTGGGTTACGTTCACCTGATCATGAGAGCTCGAGTTGTTGCCAACACACATCACCTGAACCCCGTGAATCATGACGTACATGATTCCAATGACCTTGCAACTGTAGGACTCGATGTGTTTGATCTTGCAGTTGCAAGACCAAGGTGAAGTGGATCCAGTCCAGAGCATTTCAGGTCACAATTAATGGAGTTTATACATGCTCAGGTGGGTGGTTTGCCCTGGGAGCCCCAGCTTGCTAAACCTCAGGACTTGCATCACTTGCAGTCAGACAGACAGGGTGTTGCAAGAAGCACACGATTCCACAGCACAGGGGCATTGGAACCCAGTACTGAGCTGAATTAGGCACTGAGAATAATGCAATTGTGATTACGAAATGTCTCCTTTTGCTAGGCAAACATGGATCCCTTCCCAGCTCAGGCCTGGATTATATTTTTACTTCCAAATGTTCCCACACTGGTGTGCAACTATTTGAATGAAATGTGCACATCAGGACTCTACACAGAGAGTAAAGAAATAAAAATAAAGCAACATCCAGCTCGCTCCTTCTTTTTCCCCTGCCTTATCTGAACTGCTGAAACACATCCCTCAGTCCCAAACTAAATAAAGGCAACGATATATAGGAGATGTAATTTGAGTTTAATAAATACAGAATGTACCACTTCTTTATCTCAGATAAAGTCATCTTTATCTTAATTTTGGCAGTATTTCAAACTGATGGCACACTTAGAGAGGTTGCTTTTGCCAAATTTCCATGTTGGAAGGAGGATGGTAAATCACCCCAACAAGCAGTTCCATGCAACCAGACCCAGGTGAGCTCTGATACTGGAGCAAGTTCACAGATCCTACATCAAACTGTATTCTGCAGCTGGGTCCTGTCTTAAAAATGGAATAAGAGCATTTTCCCCTCTTTCCTAAGAGTTTTATCTCAGTAAATATGCTAAAGCTTGGGAGGCAGGCAGATGCTGCAGGAATGGCAGCCGCTCAAGTACCTCAGATTATCTTTCCTGCAACCAGCTACATTTTCTTCTATAATTCAAGTTTTACTCAGTGATTTGTTGCAAATGTCTTGTGATAAATGTTCCAAGGCATCTAACAGTTATTGTGAATTATTACATACAGCATACAGAAAATGCCACAATAAGGTATGTTTATTTAGTGTTATAAAGATGTTAATCACCCATGTTATGCTCTGTAGGCTCTTACAATACAATTTACATTCTCATAAAAATATCTATACAGATATACTAACAGAACACAGCACTCAGCCCATCAAAAATAAATTAAAAATGCTTCCAACCAAGACCAACTCCTATGGAAAAGCTGCCATACCCATTTTCTCTTTGAAATATGCAGATCATTTCAGACCACAAGCTACACATCAACTTCTGGACAACCCACGTGATCAAGATCATCAGATATAAATCTCAGTGGTGGAATACACCTTTCTTTAACCCATGTTCAAGAATTTAATGCCATCAAATTGAAACACAGTACATGGAGACAACCAGGATATCTGCTTCTAGAAGCACCCCTGTTATGAAAGAAAACTAAAATGCAGAGGCAGTGGACAGGCAGAGAAAGAGAAGAGATCAACATACACACACAACCCCCAGCAGGGCTTTAGAGAACTCATCTAAAGAAAACAAAAAATCACATCAAATTTGATGTGTGTAGGAAGGCTGGCCACGTGTTTATAGCATATAAAATCCAGAAATAGAGAACTTCCAGTAAAATCCTTTAAATCGTACTTTTAGCAGGAAATATTAAAAGTCAGGTGATGTGGGCCTCATTTAAATAATTAGACTTACTGATCTGTTTCTGTGACTATGGGCCGGTAACTTAAGCTGAGGTTTTGCAAGGGGGTCACAGCAGTCAGTCAGGCTGTTGTTTATAACACAATAAGGTGTTTATTCTGCCAGGTTTAAGCTTTTAATGAGGACAGCTATCATGTAATTTAGGCTCCAACGTGGACTTGTTTGACTTGTTCCTGTGAGAAATCATTTGCTTTGTGTGCATGTATCTCATTAATGCTTGTTGTTCCTAATACTACGAGATCATTTAACTGAAGAGCTGTGCTAAATGCACTTTCACCCACATTTATTTAATAATTCTTTATTTTTGCCTTGTAGTTACCGATCCCAATTCCTCTTGTGCAGCCTGAACTAACTCACTGCTGTTTTCAACTCCATTCCTTTGAATATGAGTCAGGAGGTGTGAACAACTGCACTCAGAGCAAGTCTGGCCTCCAGTGAAGACATTTCTCTGCTTTATCACACCAGTGCCTGTCTCTCTTCAGGAAAACATCAATGGAATGTATAAATTAATGGCAGGAAGGGAAGTCAACATCAACAGTTCTAGAGGGACCAGAAAGTCTTTTGACTACACCTGTAACTTGGGAAGGTCTCCTACCTTCAACTGTGTGAATCACAACCCATTAGAAAACATCCAATTGGAATCGTATGCAGGAGCTGGGAAACTGCAGAGTTCACCTCCAACCACAGATGATTTTAATCTGCTTTTTGTTCTTCTGAAGAAATTTCCTGGTTATGGGGTTTGGACTGAACAATGAACACTTACTTACAGTAACAGAACCTGTTCTAGGAGTCCAAGATTGTTACCTGACACACTTCAGAACTGAACACGGAGTGCCAAACTTTGTGCCTTGCCTTTGTTCTATTATTAAAAATACTGGCTAGTAAGGCCTTTCAGGCATAATTTATGGCTTATCCTTTAAAAGAAAGTATACTTTTAATGACAGATGTCCTTAGTTTGCTGCCACATTTGGAAGCTGAAAGTTTAAGAAGTTTCACGTGTTCTGCATTTCCTCAGTGACACAGTGAGTCAATGCAAAGGTTCATGGCTCCATTGAAGATGTTCCAAAAATTCCATAGCCCACTGCTTCACAACAGCTCCAACACTCCTCATTTAATCTATGCACCAGTAGGTACTCCTCAAACACCAGTACTGGAAATAAAAGGCAATTAAACCTACAACAGAAGACATTATCATAAATAAAAAAATACAATTTCATAGCTGTATTTTATTGCTTAAGGATTTCAGAATTCTATCCAAACTATAATGCACATCATCCTGAATTAGAAAAATATTACCCTAATTGAATAAAGTCATAAAGAATAACAGATTTATCCAAGGTGATTTTTCAGCTACCAGCAGAGAATTTATGCATAGAATTTAAAAGCCCTGACTGTCAATTCTTCCTTCTAATCAGCAGCCCACTGACACAAATCCTTGACAGGTAAACTGAATCCACTTCATATTCAAAACAAAACCCAGAATATTTAAATATATAAACAAACAGATGATCATAAAAGTAAAGAAAGTACAACTACTCAAATTTCAAAATATTTTGACCAATTCTAACCTGTCTCTTTATCCTTTGGATCGGTTAACAGCAACAGTTTGCAAGTAGGATTATTTCGGTAGAGAGGGACAAAACACACACAGGAATCTTCAAGTTTAACCTAAAAAACAAACAAGCCCTGTAGCTGTTTGTACTGCAAAGCTCACCAGAAGTATTTCATGTATCAGATGCACTTACGACACATTTTATTGACATGCAGGGTATAAACTTAGCTCAACACCCTCTCAATCCTCAACTTCATGGCACTGAAACATATGTAATACTCTAATATTATCCATAAGTAATGTTAATTTAAAAGAAATCAAGCTACTGAAGTTAGTGAAGCCCTTAATGCTGACTCGCTGTGGTTAGTCCATAACCTGGCTTTGAACAGTTCCACGCAGACAAATGGTGTTATGAAAGTCCAGACACATCAAATGAAAACAAATACAACTTGCACTTCTTGCAGCATCCTCCAGCTGAGCACTTGTGGTGTTTTGCAAACAATGAATTAAGCCTCGGGGCACAGGGAGTATCAAAGCGTTAGGGCAGTGCCTGGGCAGTTTATCTGTGAGGCACAGGGAGGGTGGATAATTGGCACAAGGTGGTTAAGCTGAAGGCAAAGCTAAAATCAAAATGCAGCTCTCAAGCTTTTGGTCTTAGACTAAACTTCTACATGATGTGACACATAAACACCAAATTACTGTGCTCAAACAGCTCTATATGCATAGAAATGACGATTTCCATATGAATATTGCAACTGCTGTCATGTAAGTTTAGGTACAGGCAAAGAGTGTGCATGACTTAGCACAGTATGTACTGTACTTTCCAAAATCTGGTCCATTGTGTATGTGTGGGTGTGCCTCTCTCTCTAATTGCACCCATTTGTCAGTTTGCTATGAAACTCCAATCATTCATGTGATACATTTAATATTTCTTGGTGCATGGAAGGAGTATGAATATGGATTATTCAGATAACAACTTTAAGCTGAAACCACTGTTCGCCGGTTTCTGAGCGCCAGAATCTTGGAATCATCTCTGCAAACACTGGACTCCAGGAGAAAAAAAACAAACCTGAAAACTGCTTGAAAACTGTATTCACGAGCTTGCCCAAATCTCAGTATGTTCTGGGGATTCAGTCACTCTTTGCATGCTTCAAACAGAACAGCATCAGTGTCACTATGGCACCTGGGAGCATTACCATAATTAAAAGGCCAGGACTGCTTCCAATGCTGTTATTTTGTTTGATAAGGTAATGTGCACTTTCACAGGTGTGAACAACAGCAGCAGGAGCCAAGCATAGCTCTGTGTGTGGCTGCTGCCAACGTGCTCCCATCCTGGCTTACAACAATCCTGGCTATTTGTGTCCTGGATGCCTGACCAAGCCATACCAAAAAGAAGTTCTGTGACCTGAGCATGGAGGACTGACAGCCACTTAACTCCTGCTAAACAATTATTCACACTTGCCGGTCCTGCCACTTGAAACCTGCTTTCATTCAGATGCACAGGGGAAAAAAGAAAGCTTGGTAATGCAGTATTCAAACAGCAAAATCCTCATCCTTCAGGGTTGTAGGTATAGAACGGAGATTGTCAGCTGGCACGTTCACTGGGAATGGGAGCTTTACCTTATTACATTTAATTCATTTTTAATTACAAAATATCAACATTCTTTGAGCTATTTGTTATAGAGTATAAGGAAAAAGACAATACAGCAAGAACATTAGCATTACTTGTGCCCTTGACTAGCTGTCTGACTGCAGATTAGATTAGACCTGAATTAAATGAATGCAAAGAGAAATGTGTTGCTATGAGACTCAAATCAGTCATGTGATACACTTAAGGGTTGGTGACAAGCCACAAAAGCAAAGACAGTAGTGAATCAAAAGCCAGAAGTCCACCTTTAACTGCTCTCCCCGTGTGTAGCTACTGCAGAACACCCACAGCACTGCTCGGGATTTTAACTTCCCCTCCCATCTAATGGATCTGCAAATGAGCTTCCTAAAGTACAACCAGGCACGAAAGGCCGAGCTAAGGACACAGAAGCCCTAAACTGGGGGATCTTTGCATTTTCAGGTCTGTTTGTTTTTAACCCTACAAGGTCCACTAGGGGGCATTAAAAGAGTATTTAAACCCAGTCACATTCCCAGCTCAAAGCCGAAGCTGAACCCACCTGGAGCAGCATTTTCTGGAACCTACTACATATTGAATTCCTAAACTGCAGAAGACCCACAGTATTCCAAACATTTATTTCACCTAATCCAATTCCTGCTTTTACAGTACAATAACAGGTAGCCCAGCACACCTTTTATGATCTAGCATGAAAGGTTTCATAGGCTGACTGAAATGAAAATTTTTAATAGGCCTGTTCAGTCACCTCCATTTCCCCCAAGTGGCTTAGGAGTGGACCCTAAAGCATCGGCACCTGTAGGATTTATGCTGATCAGAATTCCATTGGGAGAACCCATACTCAAAATTATCAATAGTAGTATTGGAAAGAATGGAAACAAACAATGGGCTGTATCACAATACCTGTGTAAACTGCACAGTAGAGGCAGAATATACAGAGCTGTACCACCGTGTAAATCTCAATCAACTTAACTTTGATCCAGTCCTGTAAGGATGCAGGTCAAGGTGCAAAGTTCACCTAAGTACTCCAAACCCTCTTCCAGACATGCAGCTTAAGCTCATCTCCCATTTACAGCATGCAGACTATGAAATAATGCAGGATTTGCTGATTTTAAGAGATCTGCAATCCAGCCACACCGGTTTACCCCTGTTCAAAGACAACGAGCACAACCAACCAACTAATTTCCAAGTATTGAACTTGTAGTACGAAGAACATCAGCCTACTACCTCTTGTCCTCCAGGGATGGAAAAAACAGGAGTGGGCAATGATTTCTTCACGAGTTTTTCATAGTATGCTTGAGCATCTCCTTGCAGAACCTCTGGATCTTCTGCTATTGTATCGACCAAGTAAAGGCAACCTGTAGTTAAAACAAAACACAAGATGTTTTGACCTTTTAAATGAACTAAGAAGCATGAGTTTCAAAACCCCAGTTTCCCCAGGAGCTGCTTTGTGTAGCTGGGGTCTTAATGATCTCATTAGAGCCTTTTGGATAATCCTAGTCTAAAACAGTAATGCTGGCAAAAAATTACCTGTATGTTATTTAACTCTTGACATGCAATTTTACAAAGATCTGTGACAGCATCAAATCACATTTGTCTCCTTTGAATTCAACAAGAAGAGGCTCAAACTTCTCTAGGTATAAGTAAATTGCTTTAAAGCTGGAAGAGGGGAAAAAGCTTCAAAACACAGCCCAAGTAAGTGTAAGTACTGTCCAAAAATGTAACAGGGAAAGAATTCCAAGGATTCCACTCTTTCTTGGAAGTCTGCCCCTTTATGGGTCAGTCCATGAACCACTGTAGATCATTAGGTTTTTATTTCTCCTTTTTTTTTGAGTAACTTCAATTGGGCACTTTCACAACAACGAAAGAACGTCATAAACATTAAAATACTTGCACACATAAGACTTCCCAAAATAGTAACATCCTGTTTTATGCAACAGAACTCTTAATCCACGTGATTCAATGCTGAAGGGTATTTGCTAATTGCATGCATACAAAAATCTCACACATGTGATGCCTGTTCCTGAAGAACCAATAACCTCCTTCTGATCTAACAAACCTGTCTGGGGGCTCATCACCAGCCCAAGAGAAAGAACATAAAGAAATGTGCTGCTGTCTAAACGGTGTCCTGCCAGTCTTCTATCACAGGAAGGAAATAATTTCAGTTTAAGGGGCTTTCAGTCAACCAGCCGCACCTGCAGCTCTTGTAAGCCCAAAACTGAGGACAAAATCTTCTCCCACACTGCTGCAGTTGGAATCTTAGTTCTGAATGCTCCATTTTCAATCATGGTTTGGCCTCACACAGTAGCTCCTGTGGCTCAAGTTAAATGTGAAAGAACTGCACAGTAAGAGCAAATTAAATGGCTGAGACAACAAAGAGTCTTATAAGAACCATTGCAAGAATATCTGCATCAAGATTCAGAAATTACGAATCATAAAAGGACCGTACTGAAAACGATACCTTTCCACATAAAAGTAGGAGCGAGGGATTTGTAGTGCCAGTTCAGACTATTCATCCATGGTCCCACCATTCTCCCTCCAGCAGTGATCTGCATCTGATTCCTCTGCAAAAGGGTAAGGAACTGCAGCTGATAATTCACCACTACCCAGCGCTGCTTAAAATGCTTTAAACACTATTTTCCTGCCCTTTGCAGGCAATCAGCTTCTATCCTGAGGCTTGACAGCAAAGCTATGTAGTCAGAATGCTGAACAGAAGCTACTCTGTAAATGGGTTTCATGGTATGTTTGTGTGTGACAAAATGGGAGAGAAAAGAGCATTGCAACACTGGCAAGTAGGGTCACATTATAAAATCCCAGGCAGTGTTTAGGAGGGTTTCTTCTGCAGAAAGTGTGTACTGTGCAACACCACCAAGCAAAGAAGTCATGTGAGGAGAGAAAATAAAGATTATTATTAAAAACTTTGGTAATTCACAAAAGCAAATTTACCAGTAAATTAATTCTTTGCAGAAGAGCAGCACGCAAGGCTTAAGTTTAGCACAAAGCAAAATATTTGTCATGCTAATAAACACTGTTCATGAGGTGCAGCTCACAAGGCTCCCTCCTGCCACGGCTCAGCCAGTGCAGCTTCACAGCACAATCATCTTCTCTGCTCCCTGAACAAAGCAAGTGGTGCCTTCAGAGTTCCATGAACCTCCTGGTACAGAATATGCTGGTGCTCTAAGGCAACAGTGACCATCTGAAGGGCAAAATCAGGTTACAGATTAGATATTGAGGCCTGAGAGAAAACTTCTGACGAACTTTCCATCAGTACAGCTTTGCACAGAAGGAATCTTTTTCTCTAAAGTATGTTTTTAGATTTCCAGTTCTCTTTCCTGTATAACACACTGAAAAGGCCCAAGTGAGTCAGGAGCACGTACTCCAATAAGAGGGAAATCAAAACCTTTTTTGAGAAGAAAATGAGTGTCCCAGCCTCTGTGTGTCAGGGGAGGAGGGAGACTGAGGTTCCTTTAGGAACAATGTGGAGCAGAAGTCTCACTTTAGGTCCCCTGGAGTATCTTCAAGAAGTCAGGGGAGCTAAGGGTGGCTTTGGTGAACATCCCCCCAAACCTGCACACACATGCACATACCACTCACACTGTTCAGCTGCCACAGGCAGGAGAAAAATCACTTGAATTTTTTTTTTAATTAACTAAAGTGTTTCCCAGTTTTTCCCAGTACAAAGTGACAAGATAACATTTGCACTAGTATGTCCCTTTTACATGTGTTTTTTTGTATACAGAAACATGAAAACACCCTCGAAGTCTAAACATAACTACTGTTATTAAGCATTTGACTAAATCAATAATAATTGCTATCTACCAGGATGTCATAAAGGTTCCTAAAGCAAACACAAAACAATTTAACTTCACTTTAAAATGAAAGCAGTGCTGTTCACCCATGAGTGCTTCAGTGTGAGGACCCTACCAGCATCTCGGGACAGCAAAATGACGAAGTAAAAACAACAGCCTTGGAGTGAGAGGATTTCATTTGAATTTGCTCTTACCCAGCAGCACCAAAAGAGCACATGGTGGCAGGCAGCGTGCCAGGACCCTGCCAGCACTCCCTGGACAGGCACTGCTCACAAAGGGTTACCCTGAGCAGGGGAAGGAGCGAGGGCCGAGTCATAAAAGGGGCCTCTCTCTGCAGCCACAGAGGAGGGACCAGAAACCGTAAGGAGGGTAAATTTAGAACAGGAGGCCTCCTGCATGAGAGGGATTCCTGACAGTGCCACTGCAGAGGCTCAGACCTTAAACAGCCAGAGCTGGTAAACAAGGTCAGGGCACCACCAGGCGAAGGGTTCACAGACAGACACTGACAGGGCTTTGTCTCTCCCAGGGCATCCAGGGCAGAGGAGATGGAAGGGTGTGCAATTCCACAGGGAAAAACCTACCTAGAGGGAAATAAATGAGAAGCCAGAAGGAGCAGGTTTCCATTTCAAGCATGCAGAATAGATTTTAAAGCAAAAAAAACAAGCAGTGCATCTGCTTCTCCTCTCTTTTGTTTCCATGGAGCAGCCTGGGCCACGTTCTCAAGCGAGGATGTGCAAGAACATCTCCTCTCACTACAGTGATCTGTCATCAATTTGACTGAGAATCTGATTTTTAAAGTGAAAAGCTACAGCTTAAACCAGCTATAAAAACAAGCAGCACTGCCCATAGCACTCAGTCATCTTTAGGAGATTCTACCCTCCAGCACCTCTAAGTAACTCAGCCTAAAACATCATGCAACTCTGACAATAAGGCATAAACCATGATCCCTCCTTCAGTCCTGATCTCTAAACTCAGCTTTTTCTATACCCACTGCTATTCCACCTCTGATCTCGCCCAGAACAGACAGCTGAATTTCATGGGGGTTTCATTAAGTGGACAAATATCCTACTTGAGAGGTTAAAGTACAAATTTTACATCACTTAGGACCCAAAAAGATCAATATGTGGGAATCCATATATATCTAATTAACATGCATATGGTCTGCATCAGGTAGATAAATAACAAATGCAATCACAAAATGGGAGACAATACTTTAAACTAGAAATAATTTTTGTAGATTAAAGACAGACCTCCATCATCAGAGATTCAGCATGAATTTCTCTCTACCAGAAAAAGTAAGCAGGAAATATTTTTTCATGGGCAAAAGAATTTATTCTCAACACAGGAGAAAACATATGGTGCACACAGTTGCATGTGAAATTCAACAAGTGAAACTACAGACTGCTGAAACACCTGGAAGGTAAAGGACATGCTTCCATCTAATCAGATATTCTGAAGATTCTTCTGGATGATCCTTTTATATCCCCTGCAACTAAACCCTGTGCCATAACAGGAAGAATTTAACTAGAATATAGATAACCACACAGTTACCTCATTAATATAATGCTACAGCAATTCAAACCACCATTACACCCCTCAAGCTCTCTTTCACTAGACCAGTCATCTTAATATCTATGTATCACTGTCACTATTTTGCCACTATCTAACAAACCAGTTACAACTTGGGACAATCAACTCTGCCTCATCCTAGAGATGCTTTAAATACTCATTCAAGTTTCAAATTAGCAGGTACTGCCAATACACTTCTTATTTTTGACCATGAAGCCAATGCACAATTTATTAAACAAGAGATATTTCACAGAATCATGGAATGGTTTGGACTGGAAGGGACTGTAAAGATCATCCTGTCCAAAGGGACACCTTCCACTAGAGCAGGTTACTCCAAGCTCCATCCAACCTGGCCTCGGACACTTCCAGGGGTGAGGGATATTTGCTTCCACTGCTAAGAATTTTCCATTCCTGCATTCACGTGTAGCTAATTAATACTGTTTCCTTAAGACAACAAAGTTGGGGATGCAGTTTTTCCCAGCCCAGACACACCACTGGGTTGATCAGGATGCACTGAGGTATTGCTGGTACTCCCAGGAAAGGAGGACTTGTTGAAATGCCCATTCCAGAGATTTGTAAGGGCACTCAGGATGCAGCCAGATTGTAAAGCAAAATACATCAACCTCACCGTAGATGAAGCATGAAAAGTGTTATGTCTGAAGTGAATTAATCATTTATCCTACAACTACTTTTTCATGTTCTACAAACACAGAGGAGGATACTACATGCATCCATTAGGAACTGTATGTTTACAGAAGAGCCATCAGTCACTACAGGATCTGTATCTGGACTTTGTACATTGGTGCAAATCTGTGCTTCATTTTACATGTAAAAATATGAAAAAATACCTCAGATTTCTCGTGGTGAAAGAACAAGATAGATAAAAAGAATTTAACGTTTCTAACTTTCAAGTTTCATTATTTTTTATTCAGTTTTGCCATGTCTAATGCTTGCAATAGCAGCACTGGCTTTGTTCGCTG